ATATCCTCAAAATGATATTTGTAAATCATTGGATCGAACAATGGCAAGCAAAGTTTGATTCCTTCTTCATAAACATACACTTTAATTGTAATGTTTCTAGATTGTGAATGAATTCAACAATTCCCTTTAGATGATCATTCCTTTTGAGTAAAATATTTATCACAACAATCATATTGTGGTGATAATCTGCCCCATCCCCGCCCCGTTCCACCCGCCCCATTTCGTACCCGCCTTATCCCCACCTCACACTCACATCTATATATTTGGAAACTGCAAGGTGTAGGAGTTTATAGGTACTACGAGCAGAAATAACATGAATCATATTTAAACAAGTACCAATCCCAAGATCACATGCATAACACACAAGACACATAATCATACCTTTGACGCGTGAATTCTATGAAGCTATTCGACAGGCAAATCAGGGAGAGAATAGAGCCCCAAGCGTTGCTCCTCTACTTAGTCCACGAGATTCGAACGAGTTGTCCACCAATACTAGATTGGTCGAGTTATTAAGGAAAACCGCGATCACCACCTTTATGGACAAACGACCACCGCACGAACCACCACCACCACGAGACACCACCGTACGCCGAGGAGGAGGAGAGAGCCGTATGAGAGAGGACTATGAGAGGGGTTGGGTTTCGTGTTTGCTAATTAGGGTTTGATCACACTGACCAACTAGTTCCTTCTTACTTGCAAACCTAGGCACCTAGTCTATTTATAATCTCATTATAATTAGACTAGGGCACGAAGCCCAAAATCACTTCTAATCCACTCCAGATGGCCGGCCACCTAAAGTGATGAGGCCCATGATGGGCCTCGTCCTCTAATGCTCGATCTAGCCCCTTTGTGTGACCTTATAGGATCCGTCCAATTGGGCTTTGGCCTATTTTACTAGTCCAAAGATCGTTAGTACCTCTAGCTATGGAAAAACGACGACCCAAAAGTACGAATTTAATTATCTCCATAATTTGATCCATTTATATATCTAGTAATTGCACACGACGAAGACATAACTCCTTCACAAGGTCCCATATTTATCAAGAGCATTAAGTGGAACGCACGAGGAGCATGACATGATAGTGAAGAGGGCTGCCCTGTTCCCAGGCGCGGGCGCGTGCGGCCTGGTGGCGCGGCCGCGCCTATCTAGGTCTCTGTTCCGTATCCAGATTTGCGCGACCGCGCTCTCCCTTATAGTTGGCCGCGCCTGTACAGGTTTATTTGGGGACGATCTAACTAATTTCTCTTTGTTATTTTTACTATATATAGATTTTCATTATATTTTTAGAGAAAGAAGATGAGAATAGATGAAAAAAATAATTAGAATTAGAATTTTAGAGAGAGAAACTCTAGATTGTAGAGAGAGAAGTTCTTGATTAATGATTGGTAATTCTAGCATTTTCTCCATTGAATTGAAGCAAGTTTGTAAGGATTTTTTTTACTTTAATGCAATATTTAGCTTACCATTTCAATTGTTTTGTTGATTGTTCAAGTTTGAATTAAATTTGTGATTGAATTAGTTTTATTGATATGATGATGATGAAATTGTTGATTAGCTTAGTTTTGATCTTGATTTCTATGGATTGTGAGTAGTTCTTTTGCTAGGGGAATGGTGAAGCATATATGAGTAATGGATTGATGCTAATTGGGGGAAATTGATGGAGTTGATGTTGTGATTAAATTGGTTGATTGATTAAGTGCATGTGTGTAGTGCTGTCAAATTTCAAACCGAAACCGTTTAACTGCCCGAAACCAACCGACCCAAATGAGAACCGAACCGATTAAAAACCGATTTTGTAAAACCAAAAACCGACCCAAACTGTATTTAAGTAAAATCGAAACCGAACCGATCCGAATAATGTCAAACCGTATAAGAACCGAACCAGTTCTAAACCGAACTGAAATCAAACCGAACCGAAAAATAACCGAACCGTTTTTAACCCGAAACCGTTTCCAACCCGAAACTGTTTGAACCGAGGTAAAAACCGTTTACACCGAACCGTTAACAAACTGCAACCCGTTTGCACCGAACGTTTATGAACCGAACCACTTACAAACCGAACCGTCTATAAATCAAACTGTAATTTCGATCTCACAATAACTCATCAAATCATGATTATGATACATCAATTAGATGATTGAATAAAAAGCAGCTAATAATGTGATAGTAAAACAATAATAATTCATTAATACATTAAACTTTTATAATCTACGTTACTTCGTAATAAACTAGTAAGATCAGTATGACTAAACTTGAAAATAACATGATATGTATTTTTAAAATCGATGAGAATTTGTATATAATATAATGCCTAATGCCTAAATATGAAGTGATGAAGTCTCGACTTGATATAAAACTTGTTAACAAGCAAAAGGTTAGCAAGTACTATGAAATTTCAAACCAAAATCGTTTAACTGCCCGAATCCAAACGACCCGATTAAAAACCGACTTTTTCAAATTAAAAACCGTTCCGAACCATAATTTAGTAAAATGAAATGGAACTGATTCGAATAACGTTAAACCGTATAAAAGGCGAACCCGTTAACAAACCGAACCAAAATAAAACTAAACCGAAAAAGAACCGAACCGTTTCTAACTCGAAACTGTTTCCAACCTGAAACTGTTTGAACCGGTATAAAACCCGTTTACACCGAACCGTTAACAAACCGTAACCCGGCTGCACCGAACCGTTTACAACCCGAACCGAATTAAAATCGCTTAAGAATAAACCGAAACCGAATCGAACTGATAACTATTTAAACCGAACTGAAACCGACCCGTGAGACATTTAAACCGATTTCAAACCGACCCGATTTAATACCGAACCGATTCAAACCGAACCGAACCCGAACTGTCAAACTGTTTTGACAATAAGAGTAGCTAACTTTGATTGTTACACAAGAATGCATTGTAAGCTCGCATTGATACGGAAAATTAATTTGTGGCTTGCTTTAGTCGATTGAGTACGTTTACAAGGTTCCTAGTTAAAGTCTCTCGTAGTTGACGCTAGCTTGACCTCTAGGAGATTAGCCTACCTTACTCTCTTGATTGCTTAATTGATTTTCCCTTACAACACTCGACTTAGTCATCTCCAATCCCAATAAGCTATATCCATTCCGAGTATATGCGGATCCTAGCCCTAGTGCTTGATAAATTTGATTTCATTTTGATTGTTTAGAATATACACACCTTACTCCATTACTTCGAAATAGCTTAGCTTTAGCATTAGCATTCATCTCCCATTCGTAGTGATTCGAGCCTCGACTTACTCTATGCTTGGTATAAGGGTGTATTGAGAGATTAAAAATTTTGTTTTGACCGAGGGTAGATTAGTTTTCAACGACCTAGTCTCCGCCCTATATCAGTAATACACTAATTTTATAACTAAAAAAAAAGTGTAATTTTAATAATAATTTTATTTGTTGTAATTTATACGTAGTATTAAATATGTTGGATTGTGTATTGGGAGGTGGGTCTTAGTGGGGATTAGGCGGGTCTTAGGTGAGGATTAAGTGGGGATGGATATCCAAGTGGGGGTGGGGCAGGGATAGTTTTGGAATTGTATCCGCTGGGGCGGGGATGAGGATGAACTTTGGACCCGCCGCGGGGATGGGGACGGGGACGGGGATAGGGATGAATATTTTAGGTGGGGATGGGGATGGGAAGGTCAACATCCGCCCCGATCTGCCCCATTGACATCCCTAACTTTCCTTCTAAAGTTCTAATGTTGAATAAATTGGTTTCAAACAATTAAAAAAAGTAGGAGTTGGTGTGAGTAGTAAAATGGAGGAGGTGGTGATGGTGGTTGTTAAGAAAGAGAGAATAGTTTTTAAGTAAGAGAATAGAGAATGAGTGAGGTTAAAAATATATTTATGATGGTAAATTTTTTGTTTATGTATAAAAGTAAATTGGTAAGAAAAAAAATCGTAAAACATATTTTATAGGAAAATTTGTAAATTACTACCCAAAAAGAGGTCCTGTTTTGATATTACCACCCATTAAAAAATTTATTTTAAATTTGAACAATTTTCATATTACCACCATTTCTGGATTTACGGTGGAAATTCCGTTTGAGGGCCCCACATAACGACTATAAACGGCTAATTTCACTATTTTGACTCTCTCTCTCCCCGAATTATGTTGTTTAAAAATTGTACAACTTCAAGTCACAAATTTTGCCCTATTTCATTCAAAATTCCTCAAATTTCAACTACTATTGTGAGAAGAAGTTATCTACTGAAGATCATACACTCAATTTGCATCAATGGTATGATTCCACTACTTCATAATTTAAGGTTTTTTTCGCCAATTTAGGAATTAGGGTTCATGAGTCAATTAAATAGGGTTTTTTTTTTTGCAATTAGGCTATCTGTTTGCAATTAATTGTGCGATTTTGTTAGAATTCTGCTAATTGGAGTTGATGTTGTCCAAATTTGTTGAATGATTGTTTACTATGTTGAATAATTGTATCTTATGTGTTGTGTTTTGCGATTGAAAGAATTGAATGATTCATAGTTGCATGAAGTTGTAAGCAGTAAGCTTGTTCTTTTTCTTTTTTTTTTGTTTTTGGATTTTGTTTTGCAGAAATGGAGGAGTCGCCATTGACATTAGCAATTGACAGGAGCTTCAACTATATGCTTCTGGTCCCAGAGAACACTTCGAGATGGCGCAATCAACATCACATGCAAGTACAACCAAAGCATTCAATTTGCAGAAAAAAAGTAGAGTTAGGGTTTTGATTCAATCCTAAATGGGTAGTTGAGAATTTGACAGAGAATTAAAGGAAGAAAAAGGGAAAATTGATGATTTTGGAAGAATTAAGTGAAGGAATTGAGGAGAGATGAAGGTTTTAGAGTTTAATGTAACAACCAGAATGTTAGGTCGAAGAAAAAAGGAGGGAAGTTAATAAAGTGGGGCCCACAATCGGAAATTCTACCTGAAAACATAAAAAGGTGGTAATCTGAAAATTGTTTTAATTTAATGGGTGGTTATTTAAAATAAAAGTTTTAATGGGTGGTAATTTCAAATTAGAACCCCTTTTTGAATGGTAATTTAAAATTTTTCCTATTTTATATTGCGAGCGTTAACGGGAGCTTCGAGGGCGGTGTGCCGGTGTCTACTAGACCCAAAAACAATATACCAAATTTTTTGTCTTATTCAAATCTTGACCAAAAAAAAAAACAAAAAAAAAAAAACAAAATCAAGAGTAAAACACACGATGGGGCCAAACTTTGTTCACCTTGACACCTTCACCATTACTGAGTGACCTCCAAGCGTACAATGCTCATCTTCTCCGACAACTCCCCTCCTTTCCCCCGCCATTAACGATCTCTCTTCTACACACATACAGACACTCTCTCTCTTCCTCCCCATTTTCCCTCCTTCTCCTCAGATCCACACCCTTCTATTCTAGATCTCTCTTTCCCCAAATCCCCACTTCCCCAATCATCTTCCTCAAATCATCTTCCTCATCAAATAATCATGTCACACACAAATCCAAACAGCGACACAATCCCACTCCATTCCTCCTCCCAATCCGACATCGACGAGATCGAGAATCTCATCCACTCCTCCATTCACTCCGCCCCTTCGTCCGTCCTCCCCGCCGCTCGCCCCCCTTCTCCTCCTCGCGCCTCCATCCCCGTCTCCTCTTCCTCCTCCACCCCTTCTCCTTTCATCCCCTCCAATCTCCCCCCTCCTTCCGCCCCTCCTCCCTCCAAACCCCACTCCGTACCCTCTATTACACCCTCCCCACCACCTTCATCATCATCTAACTCTGCCGGTATTGCCGCTTCTGGGTTCGGCTCCCCTCCCAACACCCTCACTGAGCCTGTTTGGGATACTGTTAAGCGAGATCTGTCCCGAATTGTTAGTAATTTGAAGCTTGTTGTCTTTCCTAATCCTTATAGGGAAGACCCTGGTAAGGCGCTTCGTGATTGGGATCTTTGGGGTCCCTTTTTCTTCATTGTCTTCCTTGGTCTTACCTTGTCTTGGTCTGCTTCTGTCAAAAAGGTAATCATTTTTCTTTTGTTTTAATGAATTTATTGTTTCTGTGTTCTGGGGTTTTGTTAATTTGTGATTTCAAGATAATGTGGTTGTTTGGATTGGTGTGATAAATACACGGAAAATCGATCATATCAAGATTTTTGCTGTTGTGTACAGTGTACTGTATTTTATTTTAGTCAACTAAAATTAAACTGCATTTTGATGATACTGGGATATTTTTATTGTTTTTGGATTCTGGGGTTTGGATGTGACAATGCGGAAATGAGATCAAACGATCCTTGAAGGTGTGTTAATGAGTAATTAGGACTTTAGGTTTTGGTAATAGGACAAAATCTATACATCACTTCTGAATTCTTCTGGCATTGGCTTGGTTTAGGATGGGGTTTGGTGTGCAGGAAATCGGTTTTGGGACAATGTAAGGAGATGAAAGTATGGTGCTTATTTTGTTTGATGTGGAAATTCCCTTCTTGATGTGTATTTTAGCAATAAATGGCAATTTTTACGATGATATTAAAGTTGGTTTTGATCTCCTAGACCGATATAGGTTGGAAAGAGAATGAATGAGTCAATGGATGAAATGTAATTGAGGATTGAAAAGTATTGACAATCAATACCTCTTGACTTTGAAAATATTTGATTAGTGAAGTTTCTGTGGCTCGATATTATTTGTAGCTCATGGTTTGATCTACTCCTAATTTTATAGATCAATTGACTTTTTGTGCGAGACTGCTCCAATTGTTCTAATGAGAAAGAACTTTTACTCATGATCAAGAAGATGATTTTCTCAACCATTTTGTGGTGTGGCAGGGTAAAATAATATTTAAACTTCATAGAAGATCAATTGATGATTTTTTTTTTTGGGCCTGTTGTGTTAATACACAAAAGTGAACAAACAATGCTTGAATATGTGTTGGTTAGTAATTAGGAGGGTTTAGTTATTACTAATTTAGTATTACAGCCATTAGAATGACACCATGTTTAACAATCCTGGCATTGTCTTGGTATGAGTCATAGTACCAGGAAGAATCAGTCATCGATAAACATGGCATGCAGCAAGGCTATTATTAGAAGAAAGAAGAGGATGGAATCAGATAGGAGTTTGGTTTTGTTTAATGAGTAAATTCCCTTCTCATTTCTTATTTTAGCCATTATTGCATATTATAATTGAAGAATGTTTGTTAATTGCAATGAGATAAATGTTAGTTTTCATCTTCTAGACTTGATTTGGGCTGAATGGAGTATATGAATCATAGTATGAGGAAGAGTAACAGTCAATATTTGTTGGCTTTGGAGAACATCTGGGAATTAAAATTATCTGTACTGGGAATTCATTTGCTGCCAAAGTTTCTTACTGAATGATAGTTCAAGAGAATATATGTACTGGAATGTTCCAATTGACTTGATCAGAACTAAAATTAAAATCTGCTTGCAATGGTAAGCTGCTTTTCTAAACCTTTTTGTTGCATTGCAGTGCAAATAATAGTGTTAGCCTCATAAATTTTTTTGCTTGGGAATAATGTAATTTCCATCCATCAATTCAATAAGTACATTTTGAATTTATAAGAATTCTGGGTTTTTGATGTCAAGTGGTTATTTCTCTGCTTTCAAGGTGTTAAGATATATACACTGCAAATTGATTATTGTCTGGTTCCTTTCGGTATATGATAGCCTGCTGAATTATCTTTTAGAAAAAGAAAGATAAAACTAACTTTGTGTTTCTTACATGTAAGAGAATTGTATATCTTAATAGAAGAAAGTGTGAGACTAATTTGCTAGTGTAGTTGATGGCATGGACTTAAAGGCTCATACGACTATAATTTGAATTTTGACATATGGTTCTGAGGTTTAGACATGCTAATAATAATATATTATCAAGCACTAGCTTGGAGATTTAAAAGTTGGGATATTAAATTTATAAGCTAAATTGAGGTATACCAAATGAAGGTGTTAAATAGAATATGAATCAATTGCATCTTTGGGAGATCAGACTATATTGAGTGTATATAAGTGACTTATTGGGAAGACATCTTTGTTCATACAGCTGATCTCATCCTTATGGGATTAAGGCTGTAATATTTTATGTCGCTGTTGTTGTAGATAGGGTTGCCTTTTAGATCAATAATTAACTCAAAAAGACATTTTTGTGTTTTTTTAGGGCAAGACTATAGAACCTCTTTGAAATTGTATGGTGAATCTAACCTTACCTTCCCCTTGGGAGAAATTATAGCCAAGCTCATATGCTAGCCTATATCCGAAGAGATATAGAAAAGCATATGTAAAAACAGGCTCATGGGCAGCCTCCTAAAAGCCCAATGTAAAAAAAAAAAAAAATTGTGTAAAAGTTTGTCATTCTACTTTCTAATAGAGTCGTTAGTTCCGCAGCTCTGGTAGAAATATAGATAGTCAGAGTTAACAGATAAGGACATCCGTTCATCAACATCAATAGACAATGGTATTTGGAAAATAAAAAAAAAGTTCCCATCCCTTTTGGGACGTGGTAGTATAAAAAGTCAAAGAATTTAGAAGGTGACCGATAGGTATAACATCATTCTGATGGTCAGTTGGGGTTCTTGTGCAAATGCAAGTGTTATATGATAATTAGTGACACACACATATATAAATGATATCACTCTAAATTCTGCAGAGGATAATATGAAGAGATAAATTGTGAGGGGGCATTTTTAAATTTGTCTAGAACTTGTGTAGTTTTGAGGAAAATATCAAATAAAAGAAAATTCTCTTCTTCCATCTTTGGTTATATTCATCCATTTGAATGGTTTCGTTCTTTGCAATTAACACCATTCTTGTCTGCAAAAGCTTCGAAGTCCCCAGCTATACCAATTATGTTTCATGGTAAATACAGAAATAAATAAATACTTGCATCAAGCTGTGTTTATTAGTAGTTGATGGTTTCTAGAGAAAAGCTTGCATTTGGTATCTTTGAATTAGATAATAGATCTTTCGTTGAATCTTTGATCCATTGACAGAAGTTATATTAGTTGAGCCAAATCATTTGTGCTCTTTGTCATTACTCTTGTACAGTTGCAATAACAAAAGAGCGGAGGAAGTATCATTTTAAGCAAATCGTTCTCCCAAACCTCAATAAGTCGTGTTGGGTCAGATCTTCTATAATTGCTGCTCACTTTTTGGTTTTCCTCACTGGTTATTTGACACCTGCTTAATCATCCATATATATATAAAAAAAATTAATTCACATAGTACCATATTAATGCCCAACATAAGCTTTAGGGCCAATTAGGGGCCATTCAAGTCCCTTACACATCCTAAACCAACATAAGCTCACTGTGTAATATTGATGTTATTGTATAACTATTTTCTCAAGTGATTTAACTATTTTTCACTCACTATTAATTGGCCATATTAATACCTAGGCAAGAGGGAAATAAAGAAGTGTAGTTGTTCTGGTGCATCTTTGTAGTTTAGTGATTATCACTATTGTCCCTATATTTTATTTTTATGTTATTGCAATTAGTTGCTCTGGTGCTTCTATTTTCTTTCTTTCTTTTCCAAGGCAGTTTCTGTAGAAACTAATTTTTCGTGTGGTACTGTTGATGTCTCCAGTCAGAGGTGTTTGCTGTTGCTTTTGCCCTTCTTGCTGCTGGTGCTGTAATTTTGACACTAAATGTACTGCTATTGGTAAGAGAACCCTTTATGTCTTTTCTTTATGTTCCATTTTCCACAACTTCCCCCCCAAAATATAATCCTAAGAACAAGAAGATGAATGATGTCTAATAAAACAATATTGGAGAAACTAATATCAAACGTAGGAGACTATATAATATTTGCATGCTACTCACAAATGGTTTGGTAATGTTGGTTTAGGGTGGACACATAATTTTCTTCCAGAGTTTGAGCCTTCTAGGCTACTGCCTTTTCCCTTTGGACGTCGGAGCTCTCATCTGCATGTTAAAGGATAATGTGATTATCAAGATAGTTGTGGTTTGTGTGACTTTGGCCTGGAGTTCGTGGGCTGCATATCCATTTATGAGTTCAGCAGTTGGCCCAAGGAGAAAAGCTTTGGCTCTCTACCCAGTGTTCCTCATGTATGTATCCGTTGGATTCCTCATCATTGCTATTGATTAATTGCTGAGGGGTGCTCTTGAGAAATATCAGCTGGGGATGCTGCACCAATATATATATTTTCATGCTGAACTGGTTGTGGATTCTTCAAACAAAATCTTGTTGGCCTGATAGTTTATCGATAACCAATTTTGTATAACATTCTATAGCAAATTATATGCAAACCTGGATAACGTGCTCTGAATGTTTGTTATTTTAGTTTGTTCAGTTGATATATTCATCTGTGTAATGAGAAGTGTCTGGAATATATATCTGAAGTTCTGATATAAGTAATCGTCTCCGCTTTGCTTTAGTGGTTAATCTTTGTTGCCTCTTCCATTTCAGAATAATTGGGACCTTTTTTTGCACTAGTTTAATTAAATTATATAGCGAAATAAAGTGAGTGTAAAATCGTTGTAAATAATGTGAAATGAAGGTAGTATTAAAAAAGAATCACATTTATAAACTGAATAAAATAAATTGATTTTTTTTCCATCTATGTAGACACCAAGTTATTTTATTTTTTATTTTGACAATGATGTAAATGCTAAAGATGTGTTAGCATTTTTAAGAAAAAATTGTCAAAAAAAAAACGAACCTTTTTAAAGCCATTTCACGAAAAAAAAAACCTTTTAAAAGCTTTTTGGTTAAAAAAAAATCACCACGTTATTTATTATTATTATTATTATTATTATTATTATTATTATTATTATTATTATTATTATTTGCGAGAGAAAGGGCCTATTCACATTTATTGAGCTGAACTGAACTGATTGGAGCTGAGCTGAACTGAACTGAACTGAGTTGAAATGAATATTTTATGGGAGAGGGAAATTAGGAGCTGAACTGAACTGAACTGATTGGAGTTGAACTGAACTGAACTGAATGGAGTTTACTGAACTGAACTGAAATTAAGTAAATGTGAACAAGCTTGAAACATATTTCCTTACTTATCCTTTAATTAACTCAATAAGACTCTAGTTTCCTCCCATTTCTTCTAACTAGATTAAACCCCGTGCAATGCACAATTTTTAAATAACTTTAGCGACAATAAATTATATCAGAACAAGTATAACTCAGTATTAAAAAGTATGAAATATAGTTCTTCATAAAAAAAAAGTATGAAATGTATTGTTTAAAAAAAAAAATATGATAGGAATATATATGTGAAAGAAAATAATTAAATATATATGTAATAGTTATTATGGGCAATGTTATATTTAAAGAAGTTTGTTTTAGATTTTGTACAAATCAATAGTCAAAATTTTGATATTAATATAAAAATAAGGTTTTTTTAGTAAGTTGTTTTGGAGGGAAAACTCTTTATATTATATTGCCAAGTGTCCCTTCAAGTTCGGCTTTAGTATAATGTAATTGATTACCTCTGACCCACCCAATAACTAGATTTAATTTATACATAAAAAAGCCACCACCCCAAACATCAATGAACCACCCCTTCCCATTCTTCCTCCCTTTCCCCCTTCCCTTGGAAGCAACCCCCTCAACCACTGGACCCACTGCCCAGATCCCCCCCCCCCCACCTCCAGCGACCTACCTCTTGACCCTCCCTTTCCCCTTTATCCCCGTTGGCAACCACCATCCCTCTTCGAATTTTTGGCTCTTATTTTCTCAAACAGCTCAAATCAAGTCCAAATCAATTGCAATTTGCTTTTAAATCATCCTATCATGTGACATACATGCATAATCAAAGCCAAAACAAGCATCAATTGTAACCAAGATGCACAATTTTTTATTTTTTTTTAAAAAAAAACCCTAAATCGATTTTCTAGGATTTTTCAAAATCAAGCAGGTAGTTGTCGGGCAATGATTAGGGGGAAAGGGAGAGTCGTCTGGCCGTGGAGGAGGTGGCCAGAGGTGGATGGGCTCTGGATGGGAGGAGGAAGGGGAGGGGGAAAGAGAGGAGGAAGGGGATGGAGGGGTAGTGGTTTTGTATATATATATATTAATTAAATCTAATAATTTAGTAATTTGGTGGGTTAGGGGTTAGTTAGAAGAAATTAGAGTTTAATTAAATTAAGAAAATTTTGACTTTTACCACAAAAAAAAAAAAAACAAAATTTTTTTTTCCACCAAAACTTCTAAAACTTTTATTTTACCACCAAATAAAAAATTAAAATTTGTTTTTTTTACCACCTAACATAATTTTATAAATTTTTCGATTTTCGTGTCAAACACATGATCTATAGGGGTTTTGGGTGGCATTTTGGTCCTTTGAATCCAATTTGAGGTCAGAATTGACAAAAAATGATTGGAAATGCCTCGTTTTGCGTGTTTAAAAATACCTTGATTTGCGTGAAACATGCAAAACGAGGCATTTCCGATCATTTTTTGTCAATTATGACCTCAAAGGACCAAAATGCCCCCCAAAACGTATGAAGAACATGTTTTGCGCATGAAATTCGAATAATTTTTTTTAATGCCATTAGATTTAACGGTTTTCTTAATATTAGGTGGTAAAAAACAATTTTTAGGACTTTTTTTGTGGTAAAATAAAAGTTTTAGAAATTTTGGTGGTAAAAAATAATTTTTTGATTTTTTTGGTGGTAAAAGTCAAAATTTCTTTAAATTAATTAGTGAATAATTAGGGAAACAGATTTCCTCTAGCAAAAAAATAAACGTGGTGGTTTTTTTTAACCAAAAATCTTTTAGAAGGGTTTTTTTTTTTTTTTTTTCGAAAAATGGTATTTTAAATGGTTTATTTTGACAAATTTTTCCAATTTTTAATTAGGATTTTTTACTTTTACCACAAAAAAAAATCACGAAATTGTTTTTTACTACCAAAAATTTTTAAACTTTTATTTTACCACAAAAAAAAAACAATTAAAAATTGTTTTTTACCACCTGCCGTAAAAACCTAACATATATTTTAAATTCTTCAATTTTTGTGCCAAACACATCATATTTAGGGGTTTTGGGGGGTATTTTGGCCCTTAAAGTCCAATTTGAGGTCGGAATTGACAAAAATGATCGAAAATGATTCTTTTGTGTGTTTAAAAGTACCTCAGCATGCGTGAAACACATAAAACGAGGCATTTTCGATCATTTTTTGTCAATTCTGACTTCAAATTGGACCCACAGGGCCAAAATGCCCCCCTAACCATATGAACAACATGTTTTGCGCACGAAAATCAAAGAGTTTTTTTTTTAAAACCGTTAAATTTAACGGCTTTCTTGACGGTAGGTGGTAATCAAAAAACAATTTTTAAAATTTTATTTAGTGGTAAAATACAACTTTTAAAATTTTTGGTAGTAAAACAAATTTCGTGATTTTTTTTGGTGGTAAAAGTAAAAAAATCCTTTTAAATATGCAAGAATTTTAGGAATATTGTTTATTTAAAACCCATGCTAGATACACTACCTCGTGTCTATTTTGCTAACACATTTTGACATATGCATTTGTTTATCCAAATTTAGTTAACATTGTTTTATTTTTCTATATATAGAATCATATTTCTAAGGAAAGTTTGTCTAAAACAACCTTTTAAATCCAATTATAATAAAAATTGGGAAAAATTAACAAAAATAATCCAACTATTGGATTTTTTCTCATTTAATCCCAACTATGATTTAAATCAAACTAATCTCAACTATGTCCCTTCTCAAATTACCTTCATACTTTTGTTAACTAGGCAATCATGTATAAAATGAGCAACATGTCCACATATTATTGGTTAGATTATAGAACATTATTAAAAAAATAATAAAAATTAAAACCACCACTTGCTTTTAAACCCATACTCCCACTACCACCCTCACACACCTACCCAGCAAACTCCATCAAATAGAACAACCTTTACATCCACCCAGTGGCGGATCTATGTGTGTGCACGGTGAGTCACGTGACTCAACAGTGAGGACAAAAAAAATTAAGTTTAATTATAAAAAAAATAAAAAGTGAAAAACGCGTGAAAAGCGATGAATTTTCACTGACTTACTACTAGCTTTAGAGTTTAGACTACTGACTTTCCCTAAAAAAAAAGACTATTGACTGTCCTCTTTCCTGACTTTTTTTATTATTTTTTTATTTTGAAAGATTCCGGACTTTCCTTCTTCTTTCTCTCTCCTCCTTTTTTTTATTCTCTCTTTCCTTCTCTTTCTGCTCCAAAAGTTCAATTACTTCTCTAATGACTTTTCTTAGCTCTTCTTGATCGCCCATTTGAAGTCAAAATAGTAAGAATTTGATGTTGTTATTTCTAGATTTTCTCACTTCAAATAATCAAATTAACCCCAACTTCAAACTAATTGAAAAAATTCAATCTTTTTCTCTACCAAGCTCTAGAGAAATCAATTCGTTATTTTTCAGGTTTCATTATATTTGTTCTTTCAAAATTCCATGAATTTCACTTTTAATTTTTTGAATTAGGTTATGGAAATTACAATTGGTTGTCTAATTTTTTTATTTTAATTTTTTTAGTTTTGTTGTTTCGAAACTCAATTAGTTCGGTTTTTTTGTTGTTGTTTTTTTTTAATTTTTATATGTTTTAATTGTCTTTATATTCTGGAGTTTTCTAGATTGGTCGTAATTTGATCTTTTTTGGGTCACTCTTGAATCTTGATTGATGGAAATAATTAGGGTTTGTATTGAATTTTTGTTTTCACGTGAATTGGTAGCAGATTTGAGATGCTATGTTGTTGAAAATGAGATTTTTGATTGAATTTTGGGTACAATTATGGAGTTAGAATAGGGTTTATAATTTTTCCCAATTGATGTTTGTTTGAGAAGTGATGACTGATCAAACAAAAATATTTGATGAATTTGGACTTAATTTAGGGCCTAGGTCTCTCCGTCATCCGTGTTAGGACCGAAAACGAGGTCGTCATCAAGCGAGATGGGTGGGACGTGGGAATCACCTTATTTTGTTAGGAGGCTCTTAAGAAGAGAATTAGGCATCGGTGGAGTTGGTCGTTGGATCAATAATTTAGGGTGACTCACAAGCTCGGATATCCTAGATCCGCCACTACATCCACCCCCAGCAACCAAAAGTATCTTTCTAGCCAATCCCATCCATCGAAACCACCCTTTATGCCACCACAACCATCAACCACCAACAACAATGACCATCAGCTATAATTTCCGCCCTTGCAAAAACCATACCGACCAATGACCACAAAACGGGGATATGAGCGAGAGAGGATGGAGGTGATTTAGGAGAGGAGAAAGGGATGGGATCGGAGAAGGTGATGAAGAAGTGAGAGGCGTCGAAGGAGGAGGAGATGCGAATGGGGAATCGGGGATGTATGTGGGGTCTGAGGGTGGGGGTGCCGCAATTGGGAGGGGAGAGGAGGAGGTGGTGGTGTGG